TAATTATAATTTTAAACCCACAAAAGAACAAAAACATAAGGCCTCAATGAGCGTTTTACTTACCTAAAACTTATTAAAAACCCCGACAAATGATAGTACAGTACAGTAGTCGCAGTTAGTCTGGGCACGCGGACCCTTGTGTACTAGCCGTGCTGAGAGTAACGGCTCGCTCACCCCCACAGCCTCGCTGACCCCAGAGAGCCGTGTGGGCCAGATGTTTTTGGAATGAGCAATAAACACTCCCCTCTACACCCCCCGCCCTAGCACGGCCGCGTGCTCAGACTTGCTGTGACTACTGTACAGGAAAAGTAGCCTAAGGATTTCAAGATAAAACCCAATATCTTTCTTATTTTCATTTAATTGACTTAAAAACATAGTGTTCATAAATAAATCTTTGGTAACTTAGTAGACACTACTTACAATACCGGTACCTAGGCAAAAAATTAGGCTTGTTACAAGGCAAAACAAGTAAGAGTGTTTATATTAAATAGACCCTAGGTAATTAAATTGTAAATAAATAGGTAACCTAAATTTTAGATGCCTGAACATTGGGCATCATCCTGTGCATTTACCCTGGACTTACATTAGGCTACTAAGTTAAAAAAACCTAGAAGCTTAAATTAAGATAAGGTATTTTAAGTTTTTCTTACATCACTCTCCTCAGCTTCAGAGTCCAAGAAGTCAGCCATGTTTTCCTTGTTGTAGGCTTTGTTACGTACGGGTGTTGTCTTTTGAAAACTTGTGCTGGTAAAGTTGTGAGAGAGCGCTTAAATGGTGTTAGTGTTTCTTTTGGTTCTCAGTAATTGGATTTAAACCAATTGTTGCTGCTACCTGAAAGCAAAAAATTTAAAAAATTAAATGTTTAATAAGAAAATTATGCCCTCAATGGGCCAATAAACTAAGGTTTGTAATATTAGTTTCATAGAATTACGCCTATGAATTGTTTTATGAAAACTAGGCCTTAGTAACTTATTGTGACAAGTCAAGTCAACTCAAGTTGATTACAGACTCGATGCAGTAGGTTTTCAACTTGAGTATAACTAAACAAGTATTTTACGAGTTAAACCTTAAATCAGAACAGAAGCAACTTAAGCCTTAACTTACTTTCGCTCCACTTAACTTATGTGGAGAAAGCCAAACATATGAGATATGAACTCAATACACTAGCCAACTATAACTTAATCACAAAAAAAAGTGAATTGGCTGGAAACGAGTCTGACTCGCAAAACTTACACCCCATTGGCCAGAAGAAAATAAATCAACCGACTCACTCTGGGACAAGAGTTGACCGACTTAACTCGTTACGTATTTTTACCACAAATTTGCACTCACAAGGAGGAGCCGAACTCACTATCAGTTGTCAGAATAAGCTGAAGTCTAGTGGCAAAAAATTAATCGGCCCCTGAACCCTGAATGATCGGGCCCTGACAAAAGGTCTAGCAACGATAGCTCGGAATCCAAAGGATAATTTACATCAATGTCACTACCTACTTCTCCAGGATCATCAACCTGCCCTTCAACATCACCTAAATATTCTTCTCGAAAGCACAACGTGTAGGCTTATCACTGCTGTCCATTTTTATCACTGAAAAACAACAATTTTAACAAAACAAACCCTCAGTGACCGATGTGAAGGTTAACCAAGTTGCTTACAAACGCACTTCGTCTGTCAGCTGTAAGTACAATAAGTAGATCGGCAGGAAATTGATAAAGGTCTAGAAACAGACATCGAGAGAAAGCATAGAATCTGACGATACCAATGATACCAATATCGATCTAGTACAAACCGATTCAGCCAGTCCCAGAGCCTTCACAGTAAACGATGTTTGTGTGTCGCTACAGCTGACGATACCAATGATACCAATATCGATCTAGTACAAACCGAATCAGACAGTCCCAGAGCCTTCAAAGTAAACGATGTTTGTGTGTCGCTACAGCAACACATAACACCCGGAGTGTTAAATCAAATTCTTTAAGAAGAAATTCACTTTGTTTGCACGTTTGCTATATAGGCTAATGGGGTATTTCGTTGCAACAGGTCTTTGACCTTAGGAAAATTGTCCAAAGGGGAATACGAAGTCAGAACACTTTTCAGCCTAGGGTACGGCCTATGCTAGGCTATCTAAGAACAATAAAATTAAGTTTTTATGAAACACATAAACTTAGGCCTAACTTACAGCTCTGTGTAACTTAAGTAGGCCTAACATGTCTGAATCCTAGGCTCTATTACAACTGCAACTTCCCTATAACTGAATTTAGTTTTTATAGGGGAATGTCATTAACTTAATCTCTGTTTGATTGAAGCACCAGCACCATTGTTTATGTATTTTAATTTTAGAAGTTAAGATTGGCCTAGATTGCCAGTGATAAATGTAAATTCGTTGCAAATTTGTATTTATTATTTTGATTGAATAGGCTAGGCCTAGTTTAGGCCAAAAAAGGCATTATCAAGTTATTGAGCTATAATAGGCAGGCACCAAAATCCTAAAAATCTTACACTAGCAAAATACTAGACTACTAAATTTGCTAAGCCTAATGGCCTAAATAGATAGGACTAGTCTATTCCAGAGGACTAACTTATGATAAAAACAGATGGTAGCCCAGAACAAATAAGTAACTTAGGCCTAAGTATATAAACGACATCATTCATTTATGAAAATTTAAACAAAAGGCTATATTGGATTATTGGAATTTGACACTAGGCCTAGGCTACAGCTAATCAAAATCTGTAAAAGTGTCTAGGCTTAGGCCTAGAAGTGGAAGCTGGAAGCTCACTTAACTTACAATAGGCCTACCCTTCGCGAGCAGAAAGCTCCGAGAATATCACACGAACTAAACTTACAAGAAGATAAATAATAATAGATAATACCTAAGAGTGGCTGATAATTGAAATATTATAGGTACTGTAGGCATACTTTTAGTTTTATCTTAATTTGTAAAGTTGGTCCTTGGGAAGATTTTACTTTGGCTGAAAGTTGGTTATTGTTAACTCCAAAGATAACTATAAACGTTGAATATTAACTGAATTTATACAAAAAAGAAATGTCTTTAATATTTTACTAAGAGTCCCAATAATAGTTTTAACAAAGAGAATACTTATTAAACTGGTTTTAAAGAATAGTACATCGTTTGGTACATACCTTCCGTGAGCAACAGCAACAGAACAGAAACACAAAAAAATAAAGGCAAAAGGAAAAGATAATGGCAGGACAGAATTTAGCTTGACCAATGAAACTCGATTTATTAAACAGCAAAAGAGCAAATATTCCAAAACACTTGTACCGTTGATTATTTTGTAGACTAGGGATTTACCTACTAACTTTGGGTTCTTAATGACGTTTTGTTTCGAGAACCTTTTACCTTTTACCTCTTCTTTCTTCGCCACAGTGCTCAGATCGGGGAGTCGTCAAAATTTCTCCTTCTTCATCTTCTTGGCAGCCTTTCAGCTAGCCCAATGTGTGTGTTCTTGTATGTTGTTATATTTCAACGATTGATGAACCTTTGTTATATTTCGTAAGAAATTAGTTTCCTAGAGTCCCAAAACATTCTATAATTACCATCCTCTTGACCGTTGACCATTTCTGGATAGGTTGCATCATTAATTATACAAATATCATAAAACTTACAAATAAAAAAATATATGAAAACCAGCACGGGTTTGTGAAAAAACAGATAGACAATCAGTGCCATATGCCTGGTCTCATACGTGTCTCATACATAAACAGAGTGGTAAGGGAAGGGATATGGATTCACGTCAGCAAGTAGCAAGGATGTTCTTTGATTTTAGCAAAGCATTTGACCTCGTGAACCATGACATACTATTGAGCAAAATGAATTATCTGGTCATTAAGATGATCTGTACTAAGATTCTCAAACTGCAAAAACAAGCCCTAAAAATATTTACAAGCAGCGAAAGACGGGAACATTGCAGACATCTTTTCAAAATGCTGAATGTTTTTACCATTTTCAATCAGTTCACCTATAATTGCTTTCTATTTACGTCAAAAGAAATTTGAACTCTCATGAAACAAGAGGTGACATGCATCATATGCATGACCATAATGTCCGAGGTGCATGTAAATAAAATACAGATCGCTATAGACTAACTATGACGAGAGATAGTTTCCCTGCAATAGCTGTCAGGATGTACAGTACAATGCTCTGCCTGATAAAATAACAGAACTTGACACAAAAGTGATCACAAATAAAATTAAACAATTTTTATTGGAGAACCCATTCTACTCAACTACTGAGTTCTTCAAGTATGAGAACTCACTTGAACAGCAAGTATTACGACTATCCGCAGGACTACCCCGAATTAGACCAATTCGTATATACCAAGGCAAAAATGTGGTTCGGATTCCACTATAAACTGTAGGTCCCTTAGTTGCCATTAGCTGTATGGGCTATTAACAGCTGTGTCTAAGGAATATGTCGGCCTTATAGTCACTAACAAGACTTCAAGATCGCACCACTCATCCTACACTCATCTCCATTCATACTTGGCTTAAAATACCTACTTTGTATTGTCGCCATTTCAGCGAAAAGTATAATAAAAAGTATTAAAACAATTTATTGTTAATCTGGCTTAGTAAAGGACTTTGAGTTTGACTTTTATAAGTGTTTAATTCCACCAAAAAGAACCAAACAACATTAAAGCAAGCTTCTGATTTTACAATAAGATAAGTATACTTGTCTTAGCTAGTCCATGGTAATATACATTTTGTTTGTTTTCCCATACGATTAATTGAATAAACAATAAATGCAAGTAAATTTATGTGGTAAATAGACTAAATAACAAACTGGATTTAATATGGATCAGTGACTGTTGGAGTGTATAATCAATGCTGTCGTTAACGATTCTCACTGCTGCCTTTGACACTAATGTGATTTTTCATTTACAGGACTATGTTTCCGTTTGGCAGCCCTAGGTCTTGCGTCGCGCATTGAAATGTATTTTCATTTTTAACCTAACTTAATTTAAGCTTTCCACCATAAGCTCTAGATAATGCAATTAAGATAAGTATTATTTTTAATCCTTTTTGTACAAGTTATGTTGTGAAAATGACATTCTGGAGTCATTGCAGATTCCAAGGTGATCATCCAACTATTATTTTTATGATATTTGATATCTGTGATAAACCTAGGCATGAGTTTATAAAATGGTTACAAGATCAAAAGTTAATTGCTTCCCATTATGAGTGTGTTAATTGTAAGAAGCCTATGGCTTTAACTGAAGATAAAACCACAAGTGATAGGCTTGTGTGGAAATGTTCTACAATGGAGGGATCAAGGCATACTGTGAAACGCTCAATCCGGAGAGGTTCATGGTTTGAGCATTCTAGCTTTTCTCTTCAAGATGTTCTCCTATTGACTTACTATTGGTATAGAGAATACCCTCACAGAACAGTGCAATATGAACTTCAAACTAGTTCTGCTCGTATAATCCTGGATTGGTATAATTTCTGTAAAGGTGCTTGTGTTGATATCCTCTTAAGCCGCAGCACTCCGATTGGTGGACATGGGATTAAGATTGAGCTGTATGAAAGTAAGTTTTGGAAACGAAACCATGGGGAAGATAACAGGGTTGTAAACCAATGGATTTTTTGTGGACTGGAAAAAGACACAACTAGTTGTTTCTTAGTGACTGTAAGTGACAGATCTCCCAAAACCATCGTGAAGATACTGAAACAGTACGTCCTGCCAGGTTCGATTATTTACAGTGACATTTGGAAGGACGGTACCATTGAGCAGGATGTACACCAACACATTTCTGTGCATCATGACATCACTTTCAGGGACATGGAAAATGGAGGTGTGGGCAACACAACTGAAGGCATATGGACCATGATCAAACGGCAATTCCCTGCAGCCAGAAGGAGTAAAGCTTTGTTTGACGGATTCATCGGGGAATTCATGTATAGAAGGATACTGAATGAAGCTCAGGATGGGTATCTTCAGTTGTTAAATGATATCACCCGAGTCTACAAACCAGCAACAAGTGGTTAATTCAGGTAAGTTATGCTGTTTTCATTGTGACCTGTGATCTAAGGCTACCGTACCGGAAGTAACAACACTGAAGTATTATAATTTGGTGGGCACAGGGTTATGCCTTCTGGAAGGTATATTTAATTGGTTTTATCTAAAAATAAAGCTTTAGATTTCTGAATATTCTGGATCTTTAGGCCACTAACTTAAGTTAGCCTAGTTCTACAGTTGCCCCTTATAAAGTACATCAGTAACATCTTGATTAACCTTAGGGAGCGAGCTGGTCTAGTGGTTAGAGAGCAGGACTCCGGATCCTGAGGGGTCCCAGGTTCAAATCCCACCAAATCACCTATGGATTTTATCTAAGTGATAATTCCGTAACCCCTAGGTCTAGCCTGAAGTAGGCCTAATGTGAAAAACAATTCCGGGCTCGTGCCAAGCGTCCTATGACAAAAAAAACCTTGATTAGCCTAGCCAAAAAAAGGTGAAGCTAATAAACTGTTTTTCCGGTTAAACCGACGTCCCCAAAAACTCGTTAAAACGGACTGTTTAATGGCATACTGTAGGCCTATACAGTATTCGTCTTAAATTTAGGAGAGCATTGTATTTAGACACGTGATTAGTGATTACTGGTCTCAAATCTTCCCCACGAGAACGGTCGTTTCAGTCCCGCCCACTTCCTGCCGATCTACTCCGGTTAAACCAATGTGCTGATAAAAATTGTCCGGTTAAAGAAATGTCATTTCTGCTGAGTGTAGTCCGGTTAAAGAGATGTCATTTCTGCCGAGTGTAGTCCGGTTAAACCGATGCCCGGTTAAAAGGTATCCGGATAAGAGGGAGTCTACTGTAAAAAGGCTTGAAGGTGCATAAAAGTTACAGCTAGACTTCAAGTACATTTCTTGACGTGATTGTTAACCTCAATTTTATAATTTTAACTACATTTGTTCCTTTTTTTGTTGCAGCTCCGAAACATAAGCAGAATCCTCGTGTTAATAAGATGTACACAGAATAATGAAAACCTCAAGATCTAAAATGGAACCGTACCGTAATTGGTATTGTATATATGACTATAATAAGCTTAAGATTTGGTTTGCGTTTACTACTAAAATAACACGAACAAATTGGTCCAGAATCCATGTAAACAATGTATTGTAACGTGTTAAAAGTACCATGTTAAAGTTGACTTTCGTGTAAAGAGTAGGCAATAGCGTTTTTGACTCATGAAGTGCAATTGTTTCTGTAATGTAAAATATCATTAATCAAGGTTGTATTTGTAATTAGTTTGAAGTAGGCCAATACAAAACTGTAATATTACAAACTCATCTAAAGAGTATAAAGACAGGTTCCTTAAATATTCCGTTAGACATTTAAAAAAAATATTGGGTTTTTCTTTTTTAAATTTTTTAAGGAATGAATTTCATAATGCATTCCTGCATTGTGAGTCTTTTTTCACCTCCATTTATGATTTCCAATTACATCCTTTTTCTTATGTGTAGGCCTATTGTTGATATAATTAGCCTATTTACTTTAATTGGCAGATTGAAATTTTTTTTATTGTAAAACAAAACCGTCAAGAACATTTAACCATTAATAGTGAGGATTTTTAAATGTTTAAAGTGTTATTTTGCTGAATCATCGTTGTTTATTTTTAACATAGCTCTGATCGACTGCTTCTGTATTGTCAAAATTTGGTCTGAAACATTAACGTATTGTGGAACATTAGATATTGATGATAAACCTACAGCATAATATTTTACCAAGTAAAATTAAATTGCAAGTCTAAATGTGAAGATAAGTTATTGCAAATTAGGCTCCAAGTTAAAGTAGCCTACAGTATTAGTTTTAACAAAGTTATAAATTAGAGAAATTGTATAACCTTAATTTATCTGTTAGAACTCTTTTGTTGGGTTTACCATTATTTTATTTTATTAACATTTAATCTTATTTTTATAGGTATACAAAAGCTCCATACATTTTTAAATCTGTTTTGCTATGTTTTGTTTAGGAAGTATTATTAGATGTTGATTTTGTTTTGTGATTTCACTTATTTTCTCAATTGTATATAACTCTTTGTATTCTATATCTGTTAAAAAATATAAAAATGTAAACCTAAGCCTATCAACTAATTTTATGTTTGATAAATTGGCTGTTTAAATTTATTTTTTAAAACATCTCTTCCAGTAGGCAGTTTGTTTGTCAGCGCTAACAAACTAGCTTACAAGTAAAATAAGACTAATATTGTCTACGTTGGCGAAAACTATCAAAAGTGTAAACTAAAAGTTTCTTGAGCAAATGCAACATGTAGGTTTAGTGCTTTCCTCCTTGATGCCAGAGGAACTGGTCAACAACCGGAGTTGTATTTTGCTCACTAACAAGCCCAAATTTTTACTCCCTCTATTGCTTGTTTAAATGACGTTTACAGAAATGTAATTCTTTTCAGTGAAATTGGCCATCTTTCATAGGAAATAGAATAAACATACTCCCTTTTAAGATACCGGGTGTTCAAAAAGACTGGACACCTCTTAAAATCTTTTTAACCAAATTGGTTAGAAAATTCAAACTCTGCACAACTACATTCTATGTATAAAAAATTGCTCTGCGTTCATTAATGAAATAAATAAAGGGGTTTCCTGACTTGTTTGAACACCAATAACAATAGAAACTTTAAATGGCTGCCATTTTGCAATAGGTGAACCTTTTGAAACGTGGTTTCCGGCACTGAACTTCAGTTAACAAGCCTTTTAAAACGATGTGCATATCAACCTCTGCTTACGTTAAATATTAGTACCTACTCCTCATGGGCAGTCCCCCGGTGGAGGTAAAAAATAGTAATCCTTCCAATAGTTCAGTAGTTTTTATACTTTGTGCAAAGTTTGAATTTTCTACCCAAATTTGGTTAAATAGCTATTAGGAGGTGTCCAGACTTTTTTAACACCCGGTATATCATCCTTATGGATTAGCTGTAGACAAATGTTAGTTCTGCCAGGTTTATTTAGAGGGTGTGTTTTTGTATTTTTCCGTGTTATTTCTAAACTAGTTTAACTAAATAAAACACTTTAATTATAAACAATAGATAATTCTCTGGGTTTGTAACAAAAAAATAGAACACTAATCATAAAATTTACGCTAAATTAATCAAAAAATATAAATTTTTACTCCCTTGGCAGTAAAAGTTAATGGTGACACGCAATGAATATATTGAAAAAAGCTTCTAATTTCATGGTGAGGTAGCCTCTGGATCACTACATTTAAGCTAAAAAGTTTTAAGTTACCTGGCTTCGTCAAGTGATCCTTCTTTAGTATTTCACTACTATAGTTTCGGACTTGAAAATAAGTCCATCTTCAGGCAAAAACGTCAATAGGTCATCTAACCAATTTGGTTAGATTCGTCGATACACTCAAAACACATACACGAACACGAAAAACACAAAAAACGACTCATCTTCCGGCGTCGCCACACGTGTCCCCCGTGATTAATTACACTGGCCAGTTTTTTACAGTATTATATTCGTTTTTTGTGTTTTTCGTGTTCGTGTATGTGTTTTGAGTGTATCGACGAATCTAACCAAATTGGTTAGACCTATTGACGTTTTTGCCTGAAGATGGACTTATTTTCAAGTCCGAAACTATAGTAGTGAAATACTAAAGAAGGATCACTTGACGAAGCCAGGTAACTTAAAACTTTTTAGCTGAAAAAAGCTGTTTTTGCTCCACTATGACATAAAATATGTTCACACCTTTAACAAATGTAAATTTGGGACTTAGCTAAAATCTACTATAATGAAGTAGGCTGCTAAGTAGTTCTGACTATAGGTTTCTTTGTTTACCGTCCATTGATTAATTCCCCCTGTGCCATCTTAACAAGACCGAATAACTAGGTATAAGATATTAAACGACAATGACCAATGTAAAGCCTGTATATAGTGTAAATACATTCTGAAAATTGTGTATATCATAAATGTGTCGTAGAGTGTTTTAGTGTTTATAAGAAATCTGCTCACTTCACTTAAACGTTTTGATTAATCGTTACTGTTACCTTGCCTTCTGTATTAAGATACATAAAAGCTAATAAATTTATTACATAACTCATATACAGTGTTGTTATTTACCATGATAATTACCTACTTGTGTTAGTGGGTTTTCAGCATAACCCATTGAGACGTGCATCGAATGGCAAATAATGTTTATCTTTTTTTAAACCTTTTTTTACCAGTCGACTTGGGCTACAGAGGCCTGTGTGTGGTACGTGTCCAGGAAAAAAGGGGTGAGCTGGTACAGTACAAGGGTGAACTGTACTGATAAAAAGTAGTGGCAGGTGGCAGGTACCAGGATCTGGACCCACAACATCGTTGCCTCAGGCCCGAAGTCCATTGCGCTACCGACTGAGCCACCGACTCATCAAATGTTTGCAGATATGCTGCCAATCAAACCCGTACTGAAGTCCAAGTCGCTAACCTCTAGGTTGTGGATAGCTAAGTATTTATAGTAGAAAGTCTTAGAATTTCTTAAGCGTCTTTAATTTTGCTCTGTTAAAGGAGGCTTTCTGTTTTATGTTATGACTTTGAAGGACAATTGGCATAAATACATTTAACAAATGGTTTCTTTTATAACAATTTATTTGGCTGGTCCCAAATTTAAAACAGACAAACCTGATTGCATTAAATTTTTAAAGGTCTATATCAAACAATGCAAATTCATACTCTAAAACCGAATTGCAGAGTAAATTGTGGAGGCTTTGGTAAATATTTTTGTAGCCATTGGCCTTAAGTGCTAAATCATATGGCAAAAAACATCATGAGTCATAATTAAAATGCAATGAAGGACACTATTAAATTAACCGGATGGTGTGCATTAGGCCTAGGAGCAGCAGAGAACGTATTTTTGTGTTTGGCTGAATGTTAGGGAAGTGAAAGAAAATTCATGTTATGACCTACCAGTATTTATTTATTGTCCACAAACTACTTTGTTTTATTTTGTTTATGTTCCCTGCTTTGCCGGGGGCGGTGGGGCTTGCTTGCTCTGACAACCTCGAGAGCTATACCGGCGGCAGGGTAGCTACTGGTAAGGCCTCCCTTGCCGGACAGGTCTTCGTGAGGTAGGAGCAAGACTAAAAAGGATACCCTGGTCCTTCAGGTTTGGGTTGGGCGTAAAGCTGAGAACCTTACGCCGGTAAAAGTCACTCATTCAGAAACGCCAACATTTTGCCTCGGACCCGAATAGAAGTAACGGATTTAGACCCAAGCTCCTGTTGAATGTAATTTTATTTTTATATAATATGTTTGCTGTTACTTGTTCTGTATTTAATTTAATTTATGTTGGTAACAGCTGATCATGTGTAAATAGTTAGGATTGTTTTTATTGTAATGAGAATTGTTGAATAAGTTATGTTTGAGTAAAAATGTTGTGTTATGGGCCCAGAAAAATCCATTAATTCAACCATAACTGTAAAAACAAGAAGTAATCTTCTAGTAAAACCCTAAGAGTTAAAGTGTAGTGAAGGTGAGTGAAAAAGTAAAAGTAAGACTAACAATGGCATCAGTAAAAGAAGATGATTTCGTAGAAAAACTCAAAGGAGTTGAAACTTTTCCATTGTGGAAATTTCAGATTAAAATAATATTTCAATCCAGTGATTTGATGAGTATTGTTGATGGTTCTGAGAAACTTGAAGATATGGGTGATGGAAAGAAGAAGGCTGATTGGATTAAAAGAGATGCCAAGGCTCAGAAGTGTATAGTTAGTTCTATTGAGAAGGGACCGATGTTACATATTATCATAGATAAAACATACTCCCTTAGTAGATTTCCCATCCTTATGGAACAGCTGAAGCCAATTTTATTGTTAGTTCTGTACGGTTTTCTGTAGAGGTCGTGTTTTGTTTACAATTTGTTTCCCGTTATTACAGCCATTTAAAACCTCGTTTAACCAAATAATACGATCTAATCATAAACAATAACTTGTCCCCTAGTTATATAACCAAACAGTAAAGCACAAATCAAGAAATTAACCCTAAAATAATAGAAACAAAGTTTCGTCGACACTAGCGCCTTTGTGTCACGTACATGAACTAGACACGAAAAACCAGGCCCGTTTTTGACCCTGTCAGCGCCCTAGGCACGTCTAATAGTAGCGCCCCTTTGCAATATATATATAACAGGGTGTACACCGACCGGGAAATCAGGGAATCATGGGGGAGATTTTTGAACCGTGAATTTTGTATTTCTACCTGGAGTTTTCAATTTTCCGTGATCGCGCATGACAACAGTGACGTTTCCGTGACCGCGGGAGACGATAATATGTCTACACACGGCCGCGAGGGATGATCAAAATTTTCCGCGATCGCAGAAGACGATAATGGTATCTACAGAGCCGCAACGGATGATCAGAATATTGCCACAATCACGGAAGATGATGATAATGTCCACACGACCGCGGGAAACCGCAAGAACTTTGCCGCGACAGCGGAAGACGATGATGATCTTCACAAAACTGCAGGACATGATTAAAATTTTGCCGCAATCGCGGGAGACGATTACCATGGATTCATGACTGCGGGATACGTACGATATCTACAGGACCGCGGGTGATACAATAAAATTTCTACACGGCCACGAGGGATGATCAGAATATTGCCGCGATCACGGAAGACGATGATAATGTTCACACGTCCGCGGGAAACAGCAAGAATTTTGCCGCGTTCGTAGAAGACGATGATGATCTCCACACGACTGGAGGAAATTATTATCATTTTACCGCAATCGCGGGAGACGATAACGATGTCTTCACAACTGCGGGAAACGATTACGATGTCTACAGAAACGCGGAATACAATAATGCTGCGATCGCGCAAGACGATGATAATGTCCAAATGACCGCAGGAAAAGATAAGAATTTTGCCTCATCCGCAGAAGACGATTATCTCCATATGTCCGCGGGAGATGATTACCATTTCGCCACAATCGCGG